AACTCTCTCGTACACGTACGGTATCCCTATTTACCAAAAAAAAAAAAAACTCTCTTCTATTAAGGTTCTACTTTCTACTACTATAATAATAGTAGTAATATTTAATTCATGGCTGTGGAAACATCTGCTTTTATTTTATTTTTCAATAAAATACTAGTGGATGGTGGTAGACTGGTAGGCAGGTTGATAAGCTTGCTTGCAACACGATCCAGTTTACTTTTCTGGCAATGATGGAAACCCAATAAAATTTAATATCCCATTATTTAACCACCCACTCTCGTGGAAATGCATTTTTATTGTTTGTTGTAATTTTCTAGACATCCAGCTGACTTAAAGTATAAAGGTGGAGAAAATCGTTATGACATGCAGTGTCGAAATCAATAAACTGCATTCACGAGGATTTCTTGATAAAGTAAAGGCTATAAAGATATGATCCTAATTAACAAGATTGATGCTATTTATTATTTAATTCTTTGTATATATTAGTTGCGGAGATGCATCAATCAGGGAAATTATATAAAATGAGAAAATTTTCAAATAATTGATGAGAACTAAATTTTTAGTCAACTAAATTCAAATATTAAGGTTTAAGGATAAAGTATTGAATTTAAAAACTCAATTTGAGGAAAATATTAAAGTTTTTTCTCCTGTGCTCTACTTAGAGTTAAGGGCGGGGGTTATGGATTTCTCCCAAGGGTTTCTCTCCAGCAATGAGTTTCTTCCTTTTTTACTGTCTTCTTCCCTTCCCTTCCTCCCCTTGATTTCTTCCTTCCTCTTAATTGACTGTCTTGCTTTGGAAACTTCAACTCAAGGGATCACAAGGCAACGACATTTTTCGATCCACATCTACTGTCGATTTTTGAAGGTTGTGATTGAATATCGAGGGACATGATCTCGCTAGTGGGTTTGGTTTTCTCTTAATCACTGAATCGGAATCTCGCTTTGACATACCTTCAATTTCGGATGGGATCTCGGCGGGGGTTGCATTTGGAGAACTTGGTGCACTCCAATTTCCGGCAAGGCAACAACATCCTTCAATCTACATCAGAGAACCTAGAGCACTCTAATTTTCGATCTAGTAATCGAATACAGCAGGACAGGGATGCTGTGGGTGACTTTGGTTCTAGTGATGTTGGTCTTCTACGGAAGTGTATGTTCTTGCACTGGTTTTGCTTTTGTCGGCCACCTGAACATGAAACAAACTAGGCATTTTCTGCTTGGACAGAGCATTGTGGTGCCGGGAGACACCGCATCGCCAAGTCCCCTGATCTCTCATACAAAGTTTGTATGGCAAAATAGATGTGATTACTAGCAACGACTGTAAACTTCAATGTAGTCTTTCTATGTTATCACATAACTCTATTGATGCCCCTATAACATATACTAGTATTTAGAGGTTCTCAGTTCTTAATTGTTTCTATTTGTATGGAGCACCAAACTCTCTATATTAGTGTTATAGGTCTTACCTAACTTATTCATCTCTCTTGAATAGCCTATATGGCATGGTATACTCTGCACTATAATTGTTTTTCAATTATTAATCCAATTATACATTTTATCAAAAAAAAAAAAAAACTCAGTTTGAGAACACAGGGAGATTGATGTTTGTGTTGAGCATGTTCTTGTTTTTTGTTAATATAATTACTAAATTGCCAATGCACCAACAGCAAGTGATAAGAACATAGGTTAAATGATGTTAATGCGGCTAATAGAAAAAAGACGTAGGTAGGATAAAACGAGAATTTTGGAGGAAAAAGTGCTGTGGACTCCACAAAAACTTTTGTTTTTGGTAGGATAAGCTTTTTTAGCTGCCAAGTTATTGCCAGTTGGACAAAAATTTGAGACAACAGAGCATTTAACAGAGGGATGGACCGTGTTAATGAAAAGAGTTTGTCTAATTTGTAATTTAAAA